TTTTTTTTTTTTCGGGTACCGGGGATGGAACTCGGGACCTTGTGTTTGCTTGGCAGGTACTTATGCTGTTGAGCTACCTCCCAGCCCCATTGTGTTACATTCGTATTTTAGGGGTCTACAGGGTGTCCAGGGTCTCACTACTAGACCAGACTTGTACTGATTCTTCGGTTTACAGCCTCCCAAGTGCTGGGATTACAGGCGCGCGCCACCACGCCCAGTATCAGTCCCAGCTCAGCGCACCCCGGGGGTGGGGCCAGCAAGGCAGGCCTGGGGATCAAACCCCTAGCCCCTGCGCCTGCCTGTCGACACTTTGATCCACTAAGCTATTTGGTCGGCCGTTGGGTTACATTCGTGATCTAAACCCTGGAACCTTTTAATGTGGGCTGCTGCTGTATGTACATTCACGTGAGACTGAGAAATCTGATCCAAACATCAAACTATCACACGCGTATTTCACCCAGTAATCAACTTTCTTTTCCCTTTATTATTTGCAGCACGGCCTGTCTTGCAGTTACTTTGCTTTTTCAGATCTGGCCCAGTGTCAGTGTTAAATTAACACCAAATGGAAGAATAGGTGCTGACAATGGGATAAAGTTGGTTTCTAAGAATCTTACCTGCCCCTGAAAAAAATCTCAAGGACAGATATTGTTGGAAAGAGGAGACCAGCACAACAGTGACAGACCCCCCCCCCCCCAATTAACGCTCCTGTGTCAGGTGCTCCCCACTTCGTGGCCACTGTGGCATATTTGCAAAACTCATACTGTCACATGACTCACGTGGAAACCCGGACTTCATCACCAGAAAAATAATGGCACGGCTGTAAGGCGGGCAAGAGACGAGGGAGGAGTCACTCGGGGAGCCTGGGCCCTGAGGAGCGCGCACAGGAAAAAATCAGCGCAGCCACCACCTTCCAGTATTTCATGTTTTTATTGGCCATTTATTATAAAAATTGAAGCTTTTATTTTTGCACAAAAGATACATTTAAAAACAGTAAAATTTACCAAAATGTACTGGATCTGAGGGATTCAGTAGAAGTTTAAACCTGAGGGCCAAGAATAGTGAACAAAATTTTACATTCGCTCGTAATTCATTACCAGAAGGAAAACCAATTAAACAAGCTTCCAAATATGTGACAAAGATAAAGTAATAAATGCTATCTTTTCCTGTGAACAAAAGAAGATGCCTACTCAAGACTGGCCCGTGACGTCACTAAGAGCAAGATATTTCAAGAATTTAAAAAATCTATTTGTACAATGTTAATATTTAGGTTGACACACAGCACACATGTACACAAACACATCCACTCTAACCCTATACCCCTTTGTATTTTTAAAATTGCACCATCTCTGTTAAAGATAATGTAAAACATGCAGATAGCATTCCTAATTTTCTCTCAAGGGTATGTTTATCAGTCAGATGCAAGATTTAATTATGAAATAAAGTTCAGCTGGAGGCTGTCTCAGTTCAGTACTTTGGCTTATATGTGTTAATACTATAGTGCTGATTAAATTGTTGATATAAAAAATTGGGAAAAAAAAAGGTAGTCCCTTACCACACGTACTTAGGAGATAGTTCGCACTTAATATAGAAGCAATGAACAAGAATCAAGAAAAGACCAATTGAATAACACCAAAGCTTTTTCTTTGTTTTTTAGATGGGGTCTCGCCATGTAGGTCAGGTTGGCCATGAACTCGTAAAGTTGGGGCTGGGCTTGAACTTGCAATTTTCCTGCCTCAGTGCTGGGTTGCAGGTGTTGCATTACCATACCCGGCTAAGACTGAAGCTTTTCAACTGCTCCAGCATTTAACTTTTAGCTGAAGGTAAGAACTAATGATATCCAGGGCATTTTGCAACATTATTGGTTTATGCCATTTCACATACACATATAATATCTTCACAAAATAAGCCAGGAGGCAAAAATAACTCCTTTTCCTTCCCATGCGGCTTTCTCTTCTCCCCAGAAACAGAGTCTGTTGCAATGCAGTTAATGCAAACAAACTGGGCCTACAGTGATATTCTTGTTTTCAGTAGAGATGAAGGATCATAGGATCAGTTCAAAATATTAAAGAGATGGATAAATATAACTACTCAGGCATAATTAGTGTTGGCTTCCTCACAAATAAACTCAAGCTCAGGGGGTCTGCCCCTTAGCTCAGTTCTTTAAGTGGCTGCTTCAACAAAGCACTCAGGCTCAGGTTGCTGTGGTTCCATCCCCACAACTCAAGCCAGCCAAACCTGCCCTGAAGGCATTCGGAGCAAAAAAAAAATAAATAAATAAATAAATAAAAATAAACTCAAGCTCAGGTGTCACTGCAAATCTTCTAGCACAAAAACACTGTTACTATACAAGTACTGATCCAACTTAGCGGAGTATGAGAGTGAAGGAGGAACACTAAATACCTTATGTGGACAGCACAGTGCTAAGAGAACATACAGACAAAATGATGATTTGATTCAAAAACACAAGGAAAAACTGTCAAGTGCAGAGTAACTGATTATTTTAATAAGCTTATCAACATTACAAAATATTTTAGTTATACATATAAAATTTCAGTCATGAAACACAAAAACCAAGTATTTCACTATCAGATAAGGTTATACACATAAGTCACTGCTGCACATGACAGCACACCTCTTGGAGCTTTGCGACAACAGCGACGCGCCGGAGGTCTCCTTCACCCTCTCTTACATAACACGCACATCAAGTGTTGGTGAATTGTGGGGACATGTAGGAGAAAAGGCTAGGACAGGGTGAAAAGTGAAAATACAGTGCCTCTGCTCCCCCCAGACGGCCCCTGATGGAGGTTAGGAAGCAATGCCGCAGCTTTCAGGAATGCTCAAATCCCTTCTGTTCTCAAACTGAGCTTGAGTATTTGCTTTCTTACAAGGGCACAGAAAACACCCTGATTACACGCAGTGAGTTCATGAAGACTGTTACCCTTATATTAGCCTATGACTTCTTGCAGTTTTGGAAAAGTGCTAAATATAGCAAAATAATGTTACGGTTTGCACACATGGAACATGTGTGTCTGTGTGAGTGTGCATGTGCACATGCGCCAATGAAATGAACCAATGACACCGCCTGCATAAACCATATCCATTGTTTTTAATTCTGTACATTTAATTTTTGGAAAACACATTCTTAGAAATCAAATGCCAACCAAAGTCTCATGATTATAACTTAGTAAATTTCATTTCTTATAATGTAAAACTCTAAGTGAATATGAACACCTGTAGAATAAAGCCCTGCTCCAACAGTGTAGTCAGCGAAGCACCAGCAGCGCACTTCCCCACGTCAGACTGCAGTGTCATTGTTCATCGCATCAGGAATGTGTTACATCAAAACCTACGTACACTGTGGTGCACAGGACCTACATACCAGACGTTGAAAAGCTGCGGATCGAGAGCAACCCCGTGTACAGCTACACCTACGTGTATGGGAAGCAGCTCACATATTCACTGTTCATCCTCTGGGCCAACTGCTCTGGAACCTTCACAGGTGGTAAGATTCGTGTGCACTTAAACAGAGGCAGTTCTTAGTCATGGAGAAGTTCTAGTTGGGTCAATGGTAGCACATCTGAATTTTGTTTTGAAAATTCTTCCTGTAAGAGGGTAGGGTTTTTTGTACATATTATGTGTAATTAGATGGCCAAAACATTTAACCATTTCTCCACGCTTTACACTCATGTCCAAAACTTAAGAGAATCCTACCCGACAGTGGAAGTGGTACACAAAGCAGCACTACTATGAAGCACTAAAATAACCATCAACTCACATTTTAGTAAATAAGAATAACAAAACCCTGGATAGAGTCAGAATCTATTCTTTGAAGTCCTGAAGGAGAGCTTCATCAGTTATGCCTGGATCCCTGAGAACGTCAATGTTCTGGTTAAAGGCAAGTTTTGGTAAGAAGCAAATCTTCACACCATCTGTCCCATTCAGAATACACAATAACAGGTTAGGCAGTTTTTAGTGTCATATATTCTTCATAGCTAATACTCAAATTTGATATGAATAATTCTTTTCTCTGAACTTCAGCCCAGGCATACGTGGCAGGAGAGAGAAGCTACACTTCTCATACGCTCCAGTGATGGCGAACTTTTTAGAGCTTTTGGGGACAGCAGCCTGCTGTGGCACATGTGCCACCGGTTTGCAGCCACTGCTCTAAAACACATGCTTTCATCTTGCTAGAAGAAAGTAAGAGAAAACACCAGATAGCACAGCTCCATGTTTCCAGTGCTCTTTCCCTGGACTGTTTTCCAGTTCTATGTAGATGCAGTTCATAGATTACTTCATAGTTACATCCAAAATGAGGTGGCATCATGAGGGCTAGACCCCCTGGAGAAAAACACATCAAAAATGCACATTTCCCAAAAGTAAGAGTGTCAGTTTTATTTAACAATGTTTTTCTTTTCTTTCTTTCTTTTTTTTTTTTTTTTTTGCAGAACTGGGTATTGAACTCAGGCCCTTGTGCTTGCCAGGCAAGCGCTTATTCTACTGAGCCATCTCCCCAGCCCTTCTTTAACAACGTGCATGATAATAAAAGGCCAAGCACAAAGGTCTTTATGAAGAGGAGCAAAATGTATTCTAGCAAAGTTAGAGGCATGAGATGATTTTCAATTCAATGGATGCACCTCTATGGGAGCTCTGAAAGCTCATCTAACTGAACAGACACTGAGTGTTTTATGTTATAATTATATCTAGAGATTACGCAGATGGAGGGAAAAAAAAAGGCATTTTGCTTTAACACTGAATTCTACAAAGTATTTTAAAATCAATTCTAAAACCCAAACTGTCCCTCTTTTCTCCATCACAGGTTTTGTAAGTAGTTCAAGTTATAAGCGGGCTGTGGTGATGGCATACCTGAAACCTCAGACTTGGGAGGCTGAGGCAGGAGGATCCCCAGGAGTCTGGGCCCACCTGGAGACGCAGTGAGCTCAAGGCCAGTGTGAACTACTTGGTGAGATTTTGTCTCAACAAAACAAAACACAAAGAAAAAGAAATGTACCCAAATGATCGCAGAGCAGCAGGGCAGGAGAGGGAGATGATGCAGTCATCCTCTCACAAGGAAACCCCCAAACATTTTAGGGCATAAAACATAATCCTTTTGTTATCCAAAAGTAATCAGTTGCAGAGTACAAAATTCATTTGAGTGCAGAGTGCACGCAAACAAGAGAACCACCAACAGATGAAAGCAGGCGTCACGAGTGCTCGAAGTATGTGCTCTGTACCTTACAAAAATTATTTTTACAGATGTAGAGTCTAAGATCACACAGTAGAAAACATTTGCGTTTTATATTTGATATAAAATTCTTAACAAATAAAAAAAGGCTTAGATGATAATAGACAAGAAGAAATTCTTGAGAATATATTGGTTTTTAGAATGCTTCCAAAGACGACAAATCTCAATGACCCTGTCCAGGCAGAGGCCAAAGGCAGGCATTTTTCTCAGGGCTCCTCATGGCTGTTCAAAGAAAAGCAGATTAAGGAAGACTCAAGTTGAGAAAAGAAGTAAAATTAAGCCAAAAGGAATTCTGCCAAGCATAATACACCCCGCTTAAAACATGTCAGCACGTAAATCACAGACAGTAGTGAGCACACATCAAGGAACTTGATATTGATTAGTCGTGATCTTGGTGATGCATATCAAAGCAGGAGGTCAAGTATGCAAATAAGTGACAGGGACTGGAGGGATAGAAAAGAAACTTACAGTCTTAAGGGTAAGACCTGAAACATAAGCATTTAATAATTTTACCTCCTCAATCCATTCTGTGTATACTTCTATTGCAATAAATTAAAGATCAATTACTTACAAGATTCCAGTTCAGTGTTAACTCTTTTACTTAACTTTGGGTCAGACACTGAGTTGCTTTTGTATGATATTTGGTGGATCATAATCATCACCCATTTTTGAGTTTTATAACTTAAGAAATGACTTCTCCTTTAAAGCCATGGGACATAATTTCAAAACTGCTCGAGACATGGTCCCTGATCTTCAGGTCAACATTTATCTAAGCACGTCTGCAAACGTTCAGTCACAGGGAAAGGAAGTGTGCTGAGCAGACTGTCCTCCGCAATCAGGCAGCTGCGTTTCAGAGCCTGACATCCTTCCAGCTCCGGAGGCAATGTCTCCAGGTAGTTCCCCGTGAGCTCCAGGTAAGCGAGGCTCGACAGCTCCCCCACGTGAGGCGATAGCTCAGTCAGGCTGTTTTTCCCCAAAAGCAAACACTGCAGCTTCTTGCACTGAAACAGCCCATCTGGTAGTGTCTCAATCTGGAGAGGAAGAAAAGAAGCTGGTGAATCGGGCTTGAGGAGCTGTGCGGATCATCTGTGCTGGAGACCCTGGCTACAGTGCTCTAAAAACACACCTGCAGGTTTACAAAGACATCCAGACAATGGTGATAAACCAGAGGCAGGCAGAAAGATGAAGGGAAAGTAAGGACCAGAGTGTCCGAGGGACACAGGATAATGTGCTAGGAGCACCTGGAGCATTGCTGTGCATGGGTGGGCAGCTGAGGGGGCTCTGGGCTTTCTTACAAGCAATTCTTCATGAAACATATTTTTAAACATTGTCCCATGTTTAAAAACCACCACCACCAACCACCACCACTTGGTAACTCTGGGGATTGAACTCAGGCCCTTGCTCTTGCCAGAGAAGCGCTTATTCCACTGAGCCATCTCCCTGGTCCCAGCAGCAGCAAGTTGTTTTTATTTAATTAATATTTATTTATTTATTTATTTATTTATTTATTTGGGTTGTACGGGGGATTGAACTCAGGACTTTGTGCTTGCCAGGGAAGTGCTTATTCCACTGAGCCATCTCCCCGGCCCCTAGGATCATTATTCTTGAGGCCTGGAACAGAAGTAAAATTACTCTCATGAGTCCTCATGAAGAGCTCACTATGTATATAATGAGCAACATCCTTAAAAACAAGCACACGTCCTCCTATACTGTTTTTCTTGGTATAAACAAACTTGATAGTTTTAAGATACGATATGTGCACACACCTCTTGATGCCCTCTGTGGATACTCATCAACTCCCAGCTGCCCCAGTGGATCTGTGTTAGTGCATCAGAGGTTGCAGTCCGAGCCCAAGTGTCCTTTCATTCCGGCTTCTAACAAAGCCACTTGGTGTGGAGTTAGTCTTCTTCCTGTCCTCTGGCATGATTTCAACTATATAATTCATGTCAGAGGGGTAACTAAATATATAAATACAGGCTCCACTGGACTGCTCCCATACGTGGTGGGCAGGGTTTAGGAGTTTCTAGGCATGTCACGGTGCACACATGCCCCAAGTTCACTGTGGTGAGACCACCATACAGCCAAAGAAGCTGAGTGCACACACAGTCCCTTCAGCTTATCACTCGAAGGAGGATGGTACTGAGCCAAGCATTGCTAGGTGGCACAGCTCCCCTGCACCACACCTATGCCACCCAGCAATGCTTTGCCACAAGGCTGAGAAGCGATCGCACCTGACCTGTTGTACTCCACGTACAACATTGTGGCATAGTACACCGTGCAAGCTCCTTGACTCAGCAAGCAGCTTTTTTAGAAACAGGGGTAGAAGGGCACCTGGGCTCTGCCTGGATCCCTTGATGGGCCTGGGAAAGAGCTCCTAGAACCACCCAGAATGCTCTCCCCTCAGGAGGAAAAATATTCTTTATATAAACAGATGATCAAACTATTAAAAAGTGCTTATTTTAGAAACCCTGCTCTCCTATATCACTACTATATACATTCAGGGTTGGACAGCTTTGCAAATGAAACTAAAAATCATTGTTAAGACCAACTTTCGTATCACAATACTGCATAAGGTATAGGCCTAAGAACAATAGCTACACATTTCATTTCTTCTCGAGAATATATACCACATGCATAGATAGTCTTCAGTGCTGAGAGAGAAGAGGTCAAGATCTGAGACAGAAGAAATGTATTCCCTTCAGTCACCCTCTGATCAGCAAGCTTGCAGTTCAGAGGTAGGGTGTTATGGGTTGCGTGTAGCTATCCCCCAAAGCCTCATGTAGTCATGGGGTGGACTTCTGGAGTTTGTGATTAATTCATCCAGTGTTGGGATTATGGGTATGAGTGCTACACCTGCTCTGGGGCAGAGAGCCCGAATGCAAGGAAGGAAGGAGAGAGGCTTGCTCTCTGCCGCTGTCGCTGCTCCTCCCTCCTTTTGCTGTTTCGCTGTCTTCTGCTGCGATAAGCTGCTGCCCTCTGCCATGCGCCACCCTGCATTGGAGTCAGTTGATTATGGACTGAAACCTCCACAAACTATGAGCTGAATAAACCTTGCTTTCTTTAATTCTGGTTGTTGGAGTCAGAGGAGAGTAACTGAGACAGTCAGCATTGTAACGTGGAGGGAAATTCAGTCCTGTGAAGCGTGCCCAAGGCTGAGGGTGCTTGGTGGTGCCCAGCAATGACTCAGGCAAACCCATAGGAAATAGAGAAGGTTCTGTCCATATGCGTTCAATGCTAAAAGCTTCTTTTTTCATGTTTTTTAAAAAATCATTTATTTATTTGGCACAGGGTCTCACTATGCAGCTTGGACTCATAGTGATCCTCCTGTCTCAGCCTCCCCACTCCTGGGCTTACAGAAGTGCACCACCATGCCTGGTTTTCGGTGGTTCAGGGGCTGGCATGGTATGTAGTACTGGGATTGAATTTGGGTCTTTGCACTTGCCAGGCAGGCACTTAGACCACTGAGCTATCTCCTCAGCCCAATAACAGCTTCTTTACCAGGCTCGAAGCTAAGTGCTTCAGATAAAGTTTGGAGCAGCACAGATAGTCTTTATGAACTTCCGTTAGGGCTGGGGGTGTAGCTCAGTTGTACAGCACTTCTCTGTCATGTTCAAGGTTCTGGGTTACAAAGAAACAAATAAGAATTTTTCATCTAAGGCAGGTGGCCGTGAACATCTGAGCCTTGCTGCCGCTGACACCTGGGTGGAATGACTCTCCACGGCTCCACCTGTGCACTGTAGGGTGTTCAGCAGCATCCCTGGCCCCTTCCAATCCCACCAGCCCCGCTTTTCTCCCTAGTTGGAACAAAGGAAGATGTTTCAAGGCAAATATCCCTTGTCGGACTAAATCCTCCCCACCCCCTAGCTGAGAAACACTGGTGTCATGAGAGAGAACCATTAAACAATTACACAAAGAATGAGTGAGTCTGGAAGGGGTGGTGACTTGAGCTGCCACTTGGGAACACACACTCCCTTCTGCAGTCAACCCTCACTGCCTGCAGTGCTTAACTGGGTTATCTTCCACTGGCTGACTAGCGTGGACCCACTTCCCTTCCACTCCTGCCCAGCGCCAGTGCAACTGTGTTCTCACCAATTCTCCTAAAATCCCCAAACCTGTGATTTTAGTGGACTTCTCACTTGGTGTTCTGGGAATGGTCTCTAACCCCGAGCCCGAAGCTCCAGGGCCTCTCAACACCGCTTCCAGGAGAGACCAGGGGCTGTGGTTGGGGGGATTCCCTTGCACTGCCAGGGCTTTCTCTGCTCATCAGCACCCAACTAAGATCCTGGCCCACCATGTCACTTCAAATTCAATTTTCCTAAAGAAGTGTGGGGAACTTTATTAAGAAACTCAAGACTCTTTTCGACTCAGTAATTTTATCATGAGTTCTATATGCAAATAAAAGGCTTTCCTGGAAGTTTACATGAACACAAAACACATTTTAGTTGTAAATAAACTCTAAAAAAAATGGATCAGTTCCAGTCCAGGCACAGCGTGGGCCGGACCCTCTCCCACCCCCTTGGGCCGCCCCCCACCACTCCGCAGCACCTCCCCCACCCCGCCCGCCGAGTAGGAATTTTGCCACGTTCCAGGAACCCCCAGACCCAGTCCTAGCCCAGGTCCAGTGAGTGTGTGGGAGAGC